TTCATTCACAGGATAGAAGATGCACCCAAAAAATATACTGTCACGGACCTCTATGTGATGCTGTAGAGCAGGCATCGAAATGCACTAAAAATAGAAGAAGGCTTGCATCAGAGGTGGTGGTTATGACATCATCTTTTTCAACGTAAGATGTCCGCCCTTGGGTGTTGTTTTAAGATTTTTTTGCAACTTTGAAATTTGTTTACCCAAAAATATTGTTCCAAAAATACAAGTTCTGAAAAATGAAAAGAAAAAAAAAACCCTAATAAAAAAAGAAAAAAAAAAAAGACATTGATGGCCAGTTTCTGGTTTCAAGGTACGACACAGTTTTACAAAGGCACAGATTCATGAGCATGATGATTTTTCTAGATACAGTGGACTCCCACCTATTCATGGAGTTATGTTTTCTGTATAACATTGCTCTGAATTATTTGTGAACTTTTCAAACAGGGAGTTACAAACATCTTTAGAGAGGGTGTTGAACTACACATGGCCCACTTTGTTCCCTAAACTGTCCAAATACTGGGGTCCACTGTGTATGCCCGTTCTGTCGTTTAAACTCTTTTTCATGAGATAAATAGATGGGGCCGAATTTTGTCTGGTTAAGTCGTATTCTTTGTTGCCAAATTGAACAATTGAGTGCACAGAGTGAAGCAAGTACAGTCATTAAAGAGCCCTGTGTGTAAAAGTCCTAAAACCTTCAGGAAGATTTCTTTACATACTCTATGCTTCACACTGTGTAATTGATAGTCGCTGGACTTTTTAAACTGACTTTATTTAAGCAATAAGTATTTACTACCACAAACATCAGTTCTGGTATGTACTCAGCAGAGGAAATAGACTCCAGCTTTAATTATTTCATGAAAGATTTCAAAATCTTTTATATTCAGACTAGATTCTTTAAAAAGAATAAAATAGAAAAACTTTACTGTCAAATGTTATCTACAACCATTTCACTTTCTTTTTAAGCTTCTGCTTGAATAACAGCAGGTGTTATCAATCTCCTTTTAACTATCATATTACACATTGTGCTTTCTCTGAATTTATTTTTAAATTTCTTACTGATTGTCAATATAGCTGACTTAGACATTTCTTCCTTCAGTAGTAACTTGAACCCTGAAGACTTTTGTGTTTTGGTGCTTCTCTGATGCCTTGCTTTCACTTACTGTTACAATACGGATCTGTGTCGTTCAGCACCCTATTTAATAGTCTGGCCTATTCAGAAGATTGTTTCCACTGCCACTTGGACTTTCATTGGAGGGAAAGTTAAACCCAGACAGATAATGTTGCATCGTTCAAGTGCGACAACAAACTCGACACACTAATACGTCTTGTTCTTGCCGCAAGCTGTGATATTTCTGTCCCTCAATCAATGGGTTGTGTTGTGTTATGCCAGTAGCTCTGCGCTAAACGTATCATTGTCCTGTGACAACTGAAGGGGGCAGAGGAATGATGGATTGGTTGTTTGGGCCTCTTTTATTATGGAAACAGAGAAATAGCATATTAAACCCATTCTGTACTACTCATTGGAAATGAGGCATAGTTGTACTTTGTCACTAATTGTATTAGGAACACCATTTATGTCCAATACCTACTTGTAAATGAGCTGTGCCAGTCTGAAGTTGGACACCAATTTTCTTTTGTCTGTTTTAACTTAATAGAAATGGCTCATGGTGTTTGATGTCAGAGGTGAAGGGTCACCTAGTAAAAAAACACAAAACAATGGCGTGTAGCGTAAGTTATTATGTGGAGTGTTAGGGAACACCCTTTTGAGTGTATAATGAGGTCATTGGATGAAAGAGTCTTTGCGTTGGTAAATTTCAGTAAAACTTCCAGGAAAACTGATAAAAATGAGCAACAGGACAGACGAAAGCAGAGACGGGAACATCTGCAGAATTGGGTGTGGGCGTCCAGGTCAGAGGGATTATGGGTGAAAAGGTCCTGCTTTTAATTGCTGCTTTGGAACTGTGGACTGCCTTGCGGAGTACAAAAGGCCCGTCAGACACGCTTCAGTTGCTTGGACTTCTGAATGTTTGCCCGACCAGAGGAATGCCCCGCTTTTGCCTCAACTCCCCCCATTTCAATTCAATCCCCAATCCTGAACCTCGTATTCTCCACACTTTTCTTTTTCTCTCTGGCCCCCACTCACCTGGGAGACATGCATGTTTGCATTTTTTGCCCACAAGTACGTTTTTTTTTTTTTTTTAACATTAAAGTTTGTTGTTAATGACATTGTTGCAGGAGTTCACAGACCTGCATCACACATGTTTTAACAATTACCCCATCACACATCAAATTAAAGAAAGAAAAAAAAATACTGAGAAGTGAACTGAGATAGTATCTTCATAAGCTGGACAAAAAAACGTCTCCAGTGTGGGGACGACTGGTATACGTGTATTCATGCGGGAGCGATTAGAGGACAAGCCCTCGTTTAATTCTGTTTTGATTGGTAGGGGTGTAATTGCATCGTGTTATTTTTTTCCCCTCTCTCTCTTTTGTAAGCAATTGCTTACAGATGTTGTTTTCGGGTCAGAACGGATGACAGACTGTGGTTTTTCAGGGGGTTGGGAAGAAATAAACAAAGCACACAGTGTTTGTCTGAAGTTTACCCCTCAACACTTCCCCCTTTGCCTTCCTTCCTTTGGGAGTTGGAAAGAAATCACCGCCCCCTACTTGTTTTAGGCTCTGCAGCACTATTCTTTTTGCATTCTAGCTAACTTTACTACCTTTTAATGCTTGCATGTTTATGGCACGCAGGACAAATAAATAGTTGAGGGAGGTAATTAACCCGTCTTTATTGTAAAGAAAATGCTTGTTAGACTAAATATTTCCACTTGTTATCCATGAATTATGGAGTCTGTCCTCTACTTTGTGCCGTATGTCCTGTACTTTGGGTAAATGAGGGGTTGTGTTGTATCACCATCCGTAATCAGAGGACCTACATGACCTAGATAGATTTGAGCTTGCAGACAGCCGTTGAGGTGCTGAACTGAGCAACATGTCTGCTAGACTTTTGGCTGAACCCCTTCTTAAACCCACAGACAGTATTAACTTGAACCACCTTTATTCTTTGAAAGAAAAATTGCCCGGCACCATGATATTCCCAACGGGGCCTTCAAACAAGCCTTGTTTTTTCAGGACTCTGAGTGTTTCTCTGTCTGTGGTATCCCCTGAAGGTTTCGCCTTTCTCTCTTTGGAAAGAGCGCTGGAGTGGGATTATCAGTGTATCCACAAGCTGCCTTTTTGTTTATTCTGAGATATAAAACCTTGTCAGGATGTCCTGTCTTGCTCTCTTTATTGAGCTGTTGTTTTTTATTTAAAAAAAAAAGAAGAAAAAAACAACATTCAGGAGCTCAGCTGAAAAATAAGACGAGATGATGTTTGGATATTTGACCAGGTTTGGTCCTGAAGCAGATCAGAGTCTGTCAGCTTATGGTTAAGTGAAACATTGTGTGCACTTAGCATTTTAGTTTGAGTGAAATTTCATTAACTACAGTTTAAAACAATTTACTTTGTGTCAGAGAAAATGTGGCAGATCTCTCAGAAAATGCAACTGAAAACAGCATTACTCAATATATTTAGTTCAGATTTTGATTGGTTTGTAAACTCTAAAACTGAACATTTAAAACAAACACACTAATTTGAGAACATTTATTCAGGGGAGGTAATAAACCCATGTTGCAACGTATTTGTTGTATGTAATTAATTAGTTGCAACCTGTCCTGCAAAATTTTGGTAAAAAACCAACCCCTTCCTTCTTGTAACTTTGCTTCATGTCAACACTCGACTGTTGACATCTACTGACATTTTAAATTTTACCCAGTTGCTTTTTTTTTGGCTGTCGTGTGTAATGTGAACTTCGACGGTTGTTAATGTTAATTTAGCATTTGGAAGCGTGGCCAACACAGACTGAACGGCTCCGTTCACTTTTTCTTCTGCCATTACTAAAACAACAGCCAGAGTGCACTTCCAAAACTCCTTCTTTTGTTTGCTGATATGTCCTGTTGAAATTCAACTAGACAAATTGAATTGAATGGGTTAAATCCCAGACAGATCACTGAAGAGAGATGAGCATCAAGTGAACTGGCATGGAAATGCAATGGCTAAGCTAACTGTCAATTGTTAATCCATGAATTTCTGCTTTCTTGGATTATATTCATGACACAAAACTGTGGTCTTTTTTTTACTACTCTTAAAAAAGAAATGCCGTTCAAATAAGGCCAGTGTGTATTTTTCATAAATAGATCTTCTAAACTCAGTCATTCCTTCAGTCAGAGTAGAAATTGTCAAGACAGGATGGTGAGCTCAGTTCATTTTCCCACTATGCGCTTTGAGGAGGATTGCGAGGGAAAATATATTTCCAAAGACTCAACAGGCTTTGTTTGAAGCATTCAGACAGGAAATCAGGAGAAACATGCAGCAATGTCCAGCGTCGGAAATGAAACGCTGGATGGCTGCGTTGAGGACTAATGGCCTTGTATGTGATCCACAATACCAAGAGAAATCAATCAGAACCCAGGATTCTCGAAGATCCAGACAGATGGAAATGGTCAAAGATCCTTCTCTCTGCATACTTTCATATCTTTAGTACTTAGAAATTTAACGGTTATTGTAAATAATACTGATCGAAAATGTAAAGATTTTAAATTACATTTAAAAACTGCTCCTTTAAACAGGGTGAGAAATAGTTACAGGTTGAGGAATCATGTCAACATGAAGCACATGCCGAGAATGGTCTGCTGCTATTGGTTTTATTATAAGAAATACCTTTAGCTTTTAGGATGGGGAAATCATATCTATATTCTATATGTCAACCTAATTAAATTTGCCTTTTTAGGTGGATGGAAATGACTGACACATGGCATACTTAGAAGAAAGACTGACGGCAAACCAAACTAAGAAGCCAGAGGGTGTGCATGGCTGAAAGACGCTTTTAAGGAGAATTAGCACTAATTCATCTCGTTTCGTTCACCTCATTACTCTAACTTCTTCTTCTTCTCTAGTTCCACCGTCTCCATGAGGTCCTGAGGAATGAGCAATTGCCATGGAAACCCAGTCACAGGCCAGTTCAGCAGCTGAGAAGAAGAAGAGGGTGGAGACCATTGTGGCTACGAAGGGCTCATCGGCACGCACTGACATCAGCGAGAAGGCGGTGGCCTCCAGTACCACGTCAAATGGTATGTCTTGCTTCTGACTTCATATTGAAACTCTACGGTTCATGTAGACCAGTGGTTAATTGATGTTTTGGGTTTTAATCCACAAAAGAAGCTGCTTCTTTTGTGGATTATACATAGTGGAAAATTGCATACATACCAGTAAGCCGCTCAAATGAACATAGAGTGGCAGTACAAACTTCCTAAACAACTATTAGGCCAGAACTGGCTAAAGCAGAGTGCATGTCAGCAATGGTTCTGGTGATAGCAGTTTTCAGGAAGGTGACATGACTAAACACAGAAGCAATTGGTGAATAGTACTTCCTTTGGGAAAGACAAGCGAGTGAAGAACAGGAGGTTTATAGAAACAATAGCTCTGATGATGGCGCTATGCGTTAAAAAGACACCGATAAACAGAAAAGGACAACAGAGTGAAAAAGGTAGTGAAAAGGAAAGACATCCAATGGGCCCATATTGAATGTCAGCAATAGCTTTTTATTTAGCTGCTGCTAAGTAAAAAACTAAATTAGTAGTAAGCAGGAAAAGCTCTTTTACAGAAAAAAAACATGGAGTTAAGCGCAGAAGAGCTTTGCTCCAAAATATTTTCTTTTGTGAAATGAACACTTCAAGCTACTTTTGGGAAATTTAAATTTTATATTTGAGTTTTGGCTTTATCAGGTCACCATAATTGAATCAGTGCGTTTGAACAATGTGCCATCTGTGTTCTCATTATGTAATGAACACCAACACAAAAACATGATTCAAAGGTTAATTCTTGTGCAAATTCATCGACGCCTTTGTTCTGTGTCATTACGGTTCTTGTACAACATTCTTTGGTAGCAGCTTTGGCATGTTTGTACAGTGTAGTCTTCAACACATGCCATTAAAAGGGCGCAGAGCTTCATTAAGCCTGTCGTCATTCAGCCTTTCATTTTCAAATCTTTGGCTGGAAAGAGAAGTATTAAATAGCAATTTTTGTGGAAAGCCTTGGAGGATCAAGCCAAAGTCATAACAAAATCAGGGTTGAGATCACCACATCCTAAGCTGCAGCTGTGCTCATTAGTCGAGAGAGGATTTGGAAGGTTTTTGGATATGGAGAACATGCTGCAGGAGTTGGAACTGAAGGCTTGACGGAGTGCTTTCTGACTCACCGCCATCGCCCAATGGATGTGTGAGAGGGGGAAACAAACAATCCGGGAAAGAGTAAATAAGTTGCTGCGACTTTGCCTCCAGATGGGACTTATCACAGGAAGTGGGTAAGGTAATGCATCCTGAAACATCCTGGGAACGCGTTCATTCTTACCCACTCCCAGATGGCCGACACAGTTTTATTCATTAACGGGGCAGCATGGAAGAAAAGTTAGTTGTGGAAAAAGCATGGCTGCAATTTGGATATGTGATAGCGGATTTTTCTTAGTAATGTCCTTGTAATTACGGCACATAACGACACATGTTTTGTCTTGAAAACCTAGCAAGGGGAGCCTGCTGTAGAGTGTCTTATTCCTTAAGTCTGCAGTAGTTTCCTAATACTCTTGAGAAGGGGAGGACTCATTAGCAGAAAATGGTCCATTTTTAAAATCTTAATGTCTGTTACAGAATCATAATATTGCTTACACTTTTTTTGTGTGCATATAATTACAGCACATTCCCAAATTCACCCCCCAGAACTCTTAACCTCTTATCAGGTGTAACCCTACACTGGCCTCAACTTTAACCCTCACAGCCCCCTGCCCTGCTGCCTCCATCCAAACAAAAGGTAATTGTGAGCATCTGTGGAACCCCTGTGACTACTTTGCGTTTCCTCCCTGATCTTAGCCAAGCAGAAGCTCCTGTGGTGTGCCCAGCAGTACAAGAAGTTGCAAAATGTGGAAAATAACTGTGAAAAAAGCAGCTGGAGGGAGGGATTTGTAGATTGGTATTTGGAATTTCGCTCCAGCAGATATTACTTTTCTTGGATCAGATATTTTTGGTGCTTTTCCCTGTTTTCTTTAACTCAGCTTTGTCCAGGTTGAGTAATCATTGAGTCCTGAAACAGAGTTCCCACATGGTTGGGTAAATGGTGGCTTCATCCTGGGTGCCATTCATCTCTTCGTGCCCCCCTCCTCCTTTTCTACTGACAGCTCAAAAGAGCCGACCGGGCCACAGTGCTGTGATTGGGCCTCTTTAGGAGGGGTTGCTCTCCCCTAGAGTTCTCATCATTCAGCAGGCAGGTAGACCACAAAGTCCACTAATTCTTTGTTCAGTTCTGTTCCTTGGCAGAATAAATTCTGTCATTGGGGGATGATTTGTGGCTTTAAAAAGTAGTGCTAAGATTTGATCATTTGCAAATTTTGTAGAAAACTGTCAGGGACTTGTTTCAGCAACATACCCTTTACATCCAATGTTATGATGTTAAAGTTGCAGCAATAAGTATTTGTTTCATAACAATAACCCACTGATAGCATTTTGAAACAATTGCAATTTTCTGTAAGAGGTATTTGAGACATTTTAGCTGTTAGTAATCAACAGGAAAAAATTTAAGAAAAAAGTGGAAGAAACCATGCAGGAAAAGTTCATAGGTCAGGAATAAAACCATAAACTACTCTTCTTAAGGGCTGTGCATCAGATACTTGCTGTACCACTACAACATGTGTCATCATGGGTTTCACCAATATTTAAAAACAAGGACAAAATGATTGTACTGTCATTAAATTTTAAACTTTAATGTAGGAAATTATGCCAGCACTTAGCATAGCTAGTGCAATTAGTGCAATGAGTGACCACACTCAGCACTGTTAGCATAACTTTCATTACTTAAGCAGGATTCCGTCTGGATCATATCACCAGAGATTTTCAAATGGTTGCCCACATTTCCAGTCCACCAAAGTACATAACAGACATAAGTTTAAGAAAATCTACCATCCCTCCTCAACCTTCCTGTTATCTGCTGAAAGTTCCACTCTCTCACTGTATTGCAGCTTGAATGAACGGCAGACAAAAATAATCATTAAAATGGTCTAAATATTTTTTTGTTTAAAAAGAGCAAGAGTAAAAGTCTCAAATGCAATCAAGTGGAGCTCTAAAGGCCATTTTGTCATAGCCTTATGTGACCAGAGAAATCCCTGGGCCAATACATAGCACGGCTAAAGCGTTTTAAGGAGTAAAATAAGCACATGAATACATTGTAAAAAAAAAAAAAAAAATCTCTTCAAAGAGGGGAGAAGAGGTACACAGAGGGGAGGGGCAGAGGGTTAGATAGAGGAAGAGTGAGGACCCACCGTCTTTTTAGGCAGCCATTTAAATGATCAACAGTAAATAGAGGGGAATGTCATCTGACAGAAATAAAGTTCCCGTTAACAGCGGGGATGGAAAGTAATTTACAGATACGCTGTCCCCGCCATCTTTGTGCCTCCCAGATAAGGTTTCATTTCAGAAACGGATAGGAGACATTTTCACTTACGGGCCCCCATTCTGGGACACCTGTGATAACAGCTTGTGGACCCCTAATTGAAAATGGGTTTCAAAATGGATTTTCACTTTTCTTCCTCCTTCCTCTCTCCCCTCTCATCCATTCCCTCCCTCCCCTTCCTTCCCTCTCTCATGACGAACTTCCCCCTCTCCGCTCCCCTCACCCCCTCTTTTTTTTTTTTTTTCCCCTTGGCGTTCCCTTGACGTTGGCCACATTGAAAGAACAGGGAGGGAGGGAACGAAGAGGGTCGAGGGGGAGTGCAAATGAAGCATCGGGTGCAGATCATCCCTCAGCCCGTGTCAATGCGATGACGGCCCCATGATCCGTCTTATTAATGAAATCATTGATCACTTGATGGGACTCATAATCAACTGTTTCTGCACTATGTCCTGCCTCATCTCCTCCTTCCTCCTCCCTCTTCACCTCTGTTTTCCACCTTTTAGTAGCTGCTGACCCTCCTTACTTTAAAAAATAGAACTAAAACTTTCAAATTTTGCTGCATTTTTTAAATTTACTTACCGTAAATACAAAAGTTGTTGGTTGCTTTATGAATTTTGCCTTAAACTACTGTCATTTGTTTTTGGTCCTTATTTATTTTATGGGGGACCAGAGAGGGAGACCCCCCTCATGTTACTCTACTATGCCTCTTGGGGGTAATGAGAGAGAACTGATGGATGGATAAAAGACCTCTTGGGAACGCCGCCTGGCCTTATGGGTCAAACAGTCCAGTAGTGGAGGTGTTATAGGGCCTGACACTAAACCCTACACAGGAAAACAGGCTTTTATAGTCAACATACCTGTTTATGGCGTGCACCACATATTTCTTCACCGCAACATGACTATCTCTGTTCTAATACAAACTATGTAGAGATATATACATTGGTCTTCCTAGTATTAATCTCCATGTTAGAGCCATATATTTTAATGAGTTTTATTTTTTATGATGTACCAAGGAAGAGTAGAGTTTAAGCAATAAAATGATGCAAAATGATACGTGTTGGTGCCATGTCTCTCTTCAACGGAGACAGGGATCGGAGTTCATGAGAAGAAAGACCTTCGAGTTCTGCAACTTTTAGATGTCTCTGCGGTTCAGCACACCTGGCTATAAAATTAGTTCTTGGTGTTTAGCTGAGGCTGTTTAGCCATTTGATTCAAGTTGGTAAGAAAAGGGACACATCTAAAAGTTGCAGGTCTCTGGCCCTTGAAGAATACAGTTTGAGACCACTTTTCTAGAGGCTACAAAATACATCAGACTGGGGTGAAGGTTCACCTTCCAGCAGGACAATGAGCCCAAACCAGCGGTGCCTGACTCCATTCCTTGAAAGATACTGTCCTGCAAATATGAAGGCCTACACTTGAGATTTGCAGCACATACATACAGAGCTTGCTTCAATGGAATGGTTTAATAGGGTTTATTTAAAGTCTAGACCTAACTCAAATCTGGAATCTATGGCAGGGACACCACACATGAAATGGCAATAAATACATTGGGGAATGAAATTGAAACATGGCAAAATATGAAAAAGTACAAAGAGTTTGAATTCCTTTGCAAAGGGTTGTATAGCAGAGGCTACCT